CCGGGGCATGTAAATAACCCCCTGCCGCTTTTCCCTACCATATGGAAAGGGGGGATCGAAAACATTTCGCCTCCCCCGGCGTTCGACAGACTGTGTGCCAGGAGGCTGAGCTCTCATCCCGGCGCTGCTCCCTGGAGCCGAGCATCTTGCGGCAGGGCCTCGGAGCCTTGGGATCTTCTTTCCGGTTTTCTTTCTGGCCTGACCTCGGAACGAGCTGGATCATTCCTGATCTGAACCGGGCTTCACCACCACCGCTGTTTTTCAGCCCTCTCGTACCTGAGCAGGGCTGTGGCAGGCCAGGAGCCCTGGAAACCCTGCTGTCGCCCCTCCTCTCCGATCCCGGAGCAGCGGGGCAGGTCGGGTGCACTGGTGGGACGTCCTGAGCTGCTGATGGGGATTTGGAGGGGAGCAGCAGAGGGGAGGAAAGGCACACCAGGAGAGTCCACTGCCCTGGGTGGCTTCTGTTAACGGGATAGTAGAGTATGGGGGAGACTGGGTGAGTGGTGTTGGTTGGGGGTGGACGCCTTACTTTTCTGCTTGGATCTGGATCGGGACTCTCCTGCCAGGGCAGGAGGCTCCTTTGGCTGTCAGATGGGCAATGCCCTGTTCCGGAAGCAGTCGGCCGTGGAGCGAGAGAGCTTCGAGAAGGGCCCAGGTCCCTGATCCCCGTCTTCCTGCCTGCCTGTCCGACCCTCCGTCTGTCCATCCGTCCGTCCACCTCCGAACCTGTGGGGCCTGGGGTCCCCATCGCACGCGGCAGGCAGCCCGAAGACGGTGAAGCTCTGCCCCACGCCTGCTGCCTCCTGGACGAAATGACTGGTCCCCGCAAGGGGCCGTGTACCCTGAAAGGCGCTCGGGGTGGGTGTGGGGGGTTTTGTGAAGGTACGACGGCAGCGAATAGGTACCGATTTGTTTTATAGCTCGCCCGGGGCATATTCTCTTATAGTCAACCACAGCTGCATGGAATTTAACAAGGTACTGTACGGTCGGTTAATTATCTCTTATACAGCATGTCATGCTATATCGATTGGGGACAGTGGGTGCATTTACGATAAGGGATGTTTTTCTTTTCTAATTTGATTTAACCTGCTAGAAATGCATTAGAAGATGGATCTTAACTGAAGGATTTTGCTCAGCCATCTGCTGGGTGGTGGATGGTGGGTGGAAAAACAGGTCAATTTCTTAATATGTTTTTATTCCTTGTACTCTGAATAGCTGGTGATCTGAGCTGGTTTCAGCTTGGCATTGGAAGTGCCATCATCCCCATCTGATGGCAATGGTAAAGTTGACAAGTAAGAGCCAGTCTGATTTAAGATGTTACATTAGATAGAGGCCTGCTAACGGTGAAGACAGGTTGTGTGCAAATAGCCAAGACTTAGGCAGTATTGTTTCACCTCATGTACTATTGAATGTATAATGAAGTAGGAGACTGAATAGCTTTATCACACAATGCTGGTCAAGCCTGGGGGTTGCAGGTTCAAGTCCAGGGGATGCCAGTAGGCCTGTGGGGTTCTCAAGATGCTGTGAAGGTATTGGAAATATCTCAGCACTTGGTTTCTCTCCTTTAAAGTGTTACGTAGATCAAACTGAACCACTGTCACTGATGTTCCTGGGAAAACTTCACGGATGATGTTTAACGTTACAGAAGCACAATTAATTTAAAGAGTAATGGAGCCTATCTTGCAAATATTAACATTAAAGGGGGGGCAAAAGCCCTTTTTAAAAAACAAAAAATGGTGTGGTGTTGGTCATCGAACAGTGGATGCAGCTGTGTTCTTGGTCATATGGGATTTAGCAATTCTGTAGTAAAGTCAGAGCTGCAGGTAGGACTCCAGTCCAGCTAGGCTGCAGTTCAGCAGGCTCTATTGGTCTCTTAAAATTGACCCTTCCCTATTGTATTTTCTCAGTTTTATTCAGTCTTTTCTTAAGTGATCCATTTAATTGTTTAAGGTAATTAATTCATTGTTTTTATTGTCCTAAACTGTGAAAGGAGCTCACCATTTCCACCACAAATTAAGTCTCACGTCCCTCATGAGGACCAGAACCTCTGAGGTCTTACTTGAAAACATTGGGGAAGGATAGAATTGGTTCTGTCAGTCCATTAATTAGTTTAGCCATGTAAGTAATTATGGAAACCAGGTATTTCACTTCTTCTGTCCCACTTTGAGCTCTTAATTCCCTTATTTGAATTACTCAATTAGTGCCTGGGACCATTACACCCGGTCCTTCATGCCAGTGGTGAGGTGTAGCTGAATACTGAGCCTTGCGATATGATCTAGTAGTCAGTGTTCAGTTATATACTGTCCAAGCAAAGCATTAGATAATAGTGTGCTTTAGAAGAGAGACCAGAGCCCTTCAGAGTAGTAGGAACGGCCCAGTATGCTTGATTTGTAGGGGCTGTGAAATGGTATTAAATCGGGTCTTTTTCACCCCTGTGCACTGCACTCTTGGACAGATGGCTAATACAAGTTGCTTCACCCTAAAACTTGGCGCACATGCCGCTGGTGGGTAGATGAAGGCAACAGCAGACCTGGCTAATATGTCAATTCAGATGCGCTCAAGGATTGCAAAATACTTGGTGGTACTGTAACTCCACAGCCAGTTGGAAATGGTGATGCATTACACAGGGCTAGCCAGAGCTTGTGCCTCTGTGGCAGCATGCTGCTTGTGGAGTCCATGCCTCACCATCCTGCCCCTTTGTGGAGGGGTTAGGCACATGGTTACAATGTCAGTCCATCATCTAGTCCAGGAGTGGGAAGCTCCAAGCCTCAGGGTGCCCAGGGTCCTCTGGCTTACTAATCTTATGTCACAGCAATAATCAAGTATACTTACATTTGGATAAGATGTCTGAATCACCTTTTTAAGACCTGAATCAGCTCTAAAATCAAAAGTGCCTGTAGAACCTGCGGGATTCCTGCCAGCAGGGACTGGAGCAGGTGGCCTTGATCAGAAACAGGCATGTGATGCTAAGAGGGGAGCTCCTCATTGGTGTGAAAAGAGCACACAGTTGTGTTGGTTAATAAAGACATGTTTGGCAGTCACCGAGTTTTCTGTGTGTGTGTGTGTGAGCTTTCTGTTTGCTTGCTTTCCTCAACAGCATCTGAAGCCCAGAAGAAAGAGGTCCTGTCTGATATGAGGAAGGCCAGCCCCTAAGACGCAGAAAGAGATCAGTAACGCCTCTCTGAACAGCAGGCGGTTGCTAAAAGGGATCACCCATTCTCCTTGCAACCAAGCTAGAAGTTGTCTAAGGCTCACAGAAAAGACTGCGTTATAGTACTGACTTTCGCACCTGCTTCTCCAAGATTCTTTGTCTTCTAGGTTTGGTTCCCACTGTACTCTTAATCAGTTAGGCTCATCGATCACTAGCTGAGTAAGCCCTTTTTTCAGGGATCAAGAAGCTAGACAGGATTTCCATGAAAGATAGTCTTTGAGCCTGTTTCTACTTCTGCAAAAGAGTTAGGAGTTCCTGTCGATGTATCATTTATACCTTCGGTGAAAGTGGATCAAAGTCAGTGATTAAATGACCTGTTAATTTAATCCTCATTTACAGCCACTGGTACGTTTAGCTTCCTGTATTTACATTTAATTTAAAAAATCTGAAGCTGCCTTCAATTTAAATCTCCCCCTGCTCTCTTAATAAAGAAAGACAAGAATTTAAGAACTTCTAGAATTCACCTGCTGTCCCTCTAGTCCACTGGTTCCCAGTCCTGGTGACCCATACACACCTGCTGGTTTTTTCTTTCCCTCCCACCTTCATGAGATAACTGAAGCCTTACTTGATCGAAGAAGATGCATCAAATGAATATTTGCGTTTTGTTTATAGGCACAAGTTTGGGATTTTATTTCACTTACGAAACACAACAGTTAAAGCTCTGACATGGGAACAAAAAGTTCACATTAATCTTATGATTATTAGGTCAATGAAGGATTTGATGGGATTTCAGTGAGGGCACGGCTAGAACAAAATCCAACAGGTGTGTGGGTCACCTGGACCAGGATTGGGAACCACTGCTGTAGAAAAATACACCCCGCAATCCGTACCCCCCAGTGTGAATACAGGAAATTAAACTGAGTGATGAACAATTTGATACCCTTAAAGAAGACTGAGGCAGACGTTCTCCTGCCTCTGGAAGTCCTCTAGTCCTCCATCATCCTTTCCCAATCCTGTCCTCCCATAATGTCATCGCCTCCTCTGTTCTGCCCTATATTGTCCTGTACTTTCCCACCCCACCTTGTTCAATCCTGTCTGTCCTTCTCCACCCTATCCTGTGGAGGCAGCCACTATCCCTAATTTTGCCAAGATCTACTTTATGTTCCAGTTCCCCCGCGGCAAATCCGTGGAATGGCCGGCGGAGCGACTCCATTGCAGGGGTGGGGGGTGAGACGCAACAGGGAAGAGTTTGCAATGAAAAGAGACGCACTGGCACGGAACAGCAGAGCCACAGCCGGGTTTTAATCGAAAGATGGGGTCCAACAGGTGCAGGAGGCTGTCCTCTGCACGTGGTGTCGGGATCCATTCCCGTTTGTGCATGTGTAAGAGGTATAACACACGTCTACATCTACAGGTACAATTTACTGGCCGCCTAAGCCGAGGGGCGAGGTGGGAAGGAGCGGTCCTGCAGAGATGGGTGGGGGGTGTGCACACAGAGGGGTCAACACGAGGTGAAGGTCTTCCAGAAGAAATTTCGGCAGCCGGCTTTCCGCTCGCGCTGCGCCAGGGGCAGCTGCCGGGGCACATCGCTCCGGATCCCGGCGTCTTCGGCCGAGCCGGGCGGGATTTCGTTCTCGGCTCTGAGGAGGTCTGAGAAGATCTTCAGGAGCAGCATCCGGGAGAGGTCCTGGGGAGTGAGAACGGAGGGTTAAGCAATCGGGGCAGGAAAAGCCGGGTCGTTTCTAGGCTGGGTTGTCAATGTCTGAGAATGTGCAGAATTATAACGTCTGTTCTTGGCCAAACTCAGAGGTGAATAAGGCAATCACAAACCCCAACTACTAGCCCTGTATCTGCAGAGGATTGCCTCCAGTTCTCATTCTGAAGCACTGCTGTGTCTGCAGACTTTCAATCCAGCCGAGAATTTTACAATCTGGACGAGCTCTTTATTGGCTTAGCCAACATGAGAACGTCACTTAATACACACTGGCCCTCCAGCGTTCGAACTGGAGATTCCAGGCAGTGGGTAGTTTGTAGTTTCCCCGATTACTGCAACTCTAAAAAAGGATGGAGAGCCTGCATGATGACCTGCTGTATGTAAAGACAGCCAGTGTAAAAGTGAAAACATGGAGACGGATCTCCACCACTAAGCATGCATGTACAGGGCATGTCAGAGAGTCGGGGAGAATGAGAATCAATCAATCAAGGTTTATTTATCAATGCACGAACAGAGCATACAGCGGTGTTGTCGGCAATGAAATGTTTTATCCGTGAGCTGGTAAAGAGGGATAGAAGAGTAGAAGGACAGATGTTTTTAGGGATTAGGTTGGGATTACGATACAATAGATTATACAATTGCTATTTACAATACAATTAAAGATTGTGCGAAAGTAACACCAGGATAGGAGGTATTTAGTGCTGTTCATGTGTCCTGAGAGTGCAATGTGACAGGAGGGCACCGGTGCACCTGTCAGTTCAAGTAGGTTGCCTATTTGCCAGTGGCCAGAGAGAAAGGAGAGATCATGCATCTGTGCATGCAGATGGTCTTACAGACCAAGCAGGATCTTGCACGCTCAGAGTACAGGCACTGTACAGCCAGCATCCCGGCACAAGAGAGCCACTCACACACAAACAGAGGAAGCCTTAACAGTGCCAGATTCTCATCGGATTCACCTTAAGAAAGAGTTGATGAAGGGATAACCAGGTGATGCTATTGTTAAAACAGGTTTAAGTGCCAGTGGATTCCCGATTCAACCCCGTCTTGCTATTGTGTCTACTGTGTGCCACCCGGTACCAGAGATAGCAAACTTATTATGGAAGCCGTCGCAGAAATTTGCATGGTAGATGTTGAGTTTTCCAGTGACGGACGGACCCGAGCATGCACTACACTTGATCTTAGCCAAAAGACCAAGAAGCGATCGACCGAAAGACCCAGGCGAGCATATAGACACCTACCTCCTTTCCTTCAGGAACCTCTGCTCGGAGCAGGTCAGCCAGCCTGTCCCTCTGCGGCACTCCACTGACCCGGGCCAGCAAGACGGAAACAGAGAGAGCCACCAGGAGCACCTGCAGCTGAGAGCACAGCATCATCTCCTCTAAGTGCTGAGGGTCTTGCAGTGAGATGGTTGATATAAACCCTGAAGGAAAATCAATGAACTGAGGCTGGGTGATCTGTGCAAGATATTTATCCCCTATTCCAGGTGTGGAACTAAGGGTGATTGAAGGACTGTTGAGGCAGCCAATCGGAACCTGTGGGTGTGGCTTAGAGCAGGATGATGTCATTGAGCTCCACCCCCCATCAATTCACAAACTCAGCTCCACGTTCTAGTTGTAACAGGGAGAGTAAAACACGGGACAGGGCAAATATTCTATTTTACTTCAACTGTTAGTCCTTTTCTCTTCACCACCAACTGGTTTCAGTATAGTCCTGCTCTGCTGCAGGGGTGGATACCCGAAAGACCTCTGCAAACTATTTCCATCACTCAGGGAGAGGGCTGTGGAGATATGGGATCAAGCTGCCAACTATGTTTGCTGAAACCGATTACTTCAAGAAGCTGGTAGATGAGAGCCTGCTAACACACAACTCCTCCATCTTATTAGTACCTCAATAATACTGTACAGCTGTGACCATAATTTTGGAATTCTTTTCACATGCATTCCAGGTAAGGCATTAGATCATGGGATTTTTTTTTATTGTCTAGCAGTTTATTTCATTTTTGGTTTTGCTCTCTGCAGACTTATGTTTCAAACCCATGCTTAGTGAATAGGTAACCATATGTTGCCTGCATGTACTTGGGAAGTTGCTGATCAAAGTAAAACTGATGAAGTCAGCCCATTGGTGCTTTTGGTGCAGTTAGAACAGGCTACGCCTGAAGTACTTCAAATTGCAGTCTTGTTTACACCCCTGTGTACCTGCATGCATCAGTTAGCCTATCTGCACTTACTCCTTGTCTTGGAACTTCTCTGCTGTGCTGTGCTCTGAAGTCCATTCCAATCAGAGGCTATGGCAGATGGGTTGTAATTAAGTCTAACAGGTTTGTGTGGTGGAATAGCTGCCTCTCAGTGGGTGTGACCTTTCGCTGTCCCCCTGTGTCCAAGATGAGAAGTGACTCAAATGTTAATTAGCTAGCCCCCTCTTCCCCACCCCCGTCTCTTCCCCCAAATTTCCGGATTTGCTCTCTTGTGACATGACTGTTTAGAGGAGGAGAGTGCACTGACTAGCCTTGATCTGAAGGCAGGAGGGGGGGCACTGATCAGCCCTGATCTGTAGGCAGGAGGAGAGTGCACTGACTAGCCCTTGTCTGAAGGCAGGAGGGGGGGCACTGATCAGCCCTGATCTGTAGGCAGGAGGAGAGTGCACTGACTAGCCCTTGTCTGAAGGCAGGAGGAGAGTGCACTGACTAGCCCTTGTCTGAAGGCAGGAGGAAAGAGCACTGACCAGCCCTTATCTGGAGGCAGAAACAGAACAGCCTTGTTCAGAAACAGTTTTTTAAAAGGTCGCTATAACTTCACCACGTTGCTCTTTCCTGACCCCCAAGACACTGTGTTAAAGTGAAATGTCTCCTGTTTCCAAACCTAAATGCACCTGATCCTAATGTCTGTTGGCAGACTCCGGCCAGTACTGTCTGGTCTATAGCACAGCTCAGCCTGTACTTTGTGTCCTGACCCAGTTGAGTCACAGTAGCCTTAGTTACCTGCCAGCTCATTGGATTCTGAATGGTTCCAACATTAGACTTGCAGTGCAGGCCTCTGTTCTAAAACATCGCTGGAGTTTCAATAATGCACATATCTCTCGTCTAAAACTCCCTACATATGTGGGTCCTTCAGTGCCAGGGTTGTACCCCTGGGGTACCACACAAGGGACTCGGTGCTCCGCAGTGCAGTTCAGAGTGTGAGGACCCCCCCTCACTTCCCCACCACCGTCTACCTCACTCTCAGGAAGAGCTAAGCTTGCTCTTTGTTCCAGTGAGTTATTAATCGTGGGGCTTCATGCCGCCTTGGGCTGCGATTAACATTTTAATGAGAGACGAGCTGTCAGACCGGGTGCCATGCTGGGCGCCCAGAAATCGGCCATGTCCGGGGGCGCGGGCACCCACATCCTGCCCCCGGTAAAGGTCACTCATCTCACTGCAGCTGCTGGAGGAGGGTTAGGTGCCAGGAGCCCTGCAGCAGCTGCAGCTGATCTGTTCCATTTGGACCTACTGCACGTCCCAATCCGGGGTGTCCAGGGAAGTTCCCCATAGCTCTGCACTTAGAAAGCTAGATGTTGACCTGATCGGCTGAGAGTAGGCGGGGGGAATGAAGTCCAGCAGAGACAAGAACACACAGAACAAGAAGGAGAAGCACAAAAGGGTGCCGTTTTTTAAGTGTTTGTTTCCTACGGATTCAGGGCAACAGAGGGAAGCGCATGAAGTCTGGCTTCCAGTTCATCAACATCGTGAAAGGCGCTACCCCAGGCCATCAGTGAACTTCTCCAAGGACAGCGTCCACACAAAGACATGGGGACGAGAGGGACAATCGAGCCAGGAACACCCAGGACAGAATAGGGGTAACATTGCTTCAAGCACCCATCGAATCCAGACTCTACACCTTCTTCTCCAGAAAGGCTTTTACTTAATTGATGTCTGTGTCTACCCCCATTGAATCTTCTACTGCATTTTAAACCCTTGTTTTTAATTATTAACAGAGTTATGACACTGTTATCTCCTCATATTGTTCTTTTCCTATTGTCAAACTGTTTGAGAATCTACTTTCAAAGGTGCTGTATAAATAAAGTGTATTATTATTATGCAAAGGAAATTGGGCTAATAGGTTTTACAAGTAATAGTAATAGCAAACACAACGTTTCAGCTGTGAAGCCTTCTTCAGGTGTGAATGTGAACCGAAACGTTGTGTTTTCTCTCTTCTCTTTTCAGCATGGAATAAACCTGTTACTTGTTCCTTTGCAGACTACGTGTGCTGACGCAGCTCCCCACCTGAACTACTTTATTATCAATATTGTTATTAACATCATCATCATCGTCAACGTCCTACCTTGTGCTGCTGGAAGCCCTGATTTGGGGCTGGGGCTGGGGGCAGGCTGGGCTGACTGGCTCAAGGGATGGCGGCAGAGGGCACCCCCCCCTGTGTACCCACTATCCTGCTTGTCCCGGAGCTGCAGGCTGGTCCTGGGTCAGGATAGCCAGTGCTTGATTGGGATGGACAGGCAAACTGCTGGCTTTATTATTATTATTATACAGAAAACTGCAGGATTTCAGAACCACATGCATTGCCAACCAGGTGAAACTGACGTTTTGGGACTTGATAAGGACCTCCTGGACCATTTATTTCATTTAAAAATGCAGTATGTTCTCTGAGAATGTAGAAACTACAAGTCTGCAAATGGACGCAAAGGCATGGTAACTTCGTCTTATGCCCCTTGTAGGGCCTGATTCAGATGCTCAAGCAGAATGTTGTATCTACACACGGTGGCACTGTGGCTTAAGATCAGCGCCTGTGGCTGGAAGGTTGCCGGTTCAAATTCCATGGCCGGCAGAGGAATCCTACTCCGTTGGGTCCCCGAGCAAGGACCTGAACCCCAACTGCTCCAGGGGTGCCGTATAAATGGCTGACCCTGCTCTCTGACCCCAAGCTTCTCTCTCCCTGTCTGTATCTCTCATGGAGAGCAAGCTGGGGTATGTGAAAAGACAAATTCCTAATGCAAGAAATTGTATATGGCTAATCTTATATTATCTTACCCAGTGCTCATGGGAAAATTCCACTCGTTCGGGGGCCGGGGGTGGGAGCTGGATTGGTCCAGCAACAGGGGTGGGTTCCTTCCGTTATCTTGTCACATCTATTCAGCTTGCAAAGTTTTTTTGGAAGCAGTTTTATTTCTCCACTGGAATGTTAGCGCCCCCCAAAAAAGTGAGCCGAATAAACTGGGGGAGAGTGTCTAACAGGCTGTCTGGTGAAGTTACGCTAATAAGAAAGCTCCTTTAAGGTCGGGAACTCGTCAGCCCAAAACGAAAGCAGTGAACTAGTCATGCTAATTAAAAACAAATTAATTAAGATCGACAAGGCTGTGGCTGATGACATTTAGACCCCAGCAGGTGATGGCTGCTCTCACAATAGCTAAGCGTGTTGCTCACTGATCTTTTAATTATCCCACCCA